ACAGCGACGGTAAATTCGAGGCAGTTAAGAAGAAGACCGCCCAGCAACGGAAGAAAGATTTAAAGAACAAAAATCAACTGCTTCAGATATCAAAATCGAAAAAGACGGATAAATCTGTGTCAGGATTTTCGCTGAAGGACTTTTTACATGATATATGAATAAAATATGAGCTAATGTATCACTTTAACATCAAAGCTCTGTGAAGCTTTCTTGATCGTGATCTTGCTGATTATCGACGCAATTGTCTCGTACCTCAGTACCTGATATGATGGACCATTATATTAGAATTAAACAAGAATTTCATACATTTTAATTCTTCAAATATTTTTCGCGTACTGAGTTTATAGCCCCGAATTGAGCTGTGATGACTCGAGACTGAGGGGCACTTTTGGTGGCTGGGCGTTTGGATAAATAAAAAGTTTCGACGGAAAAAAGTTTATATTTATTGACCACTGAACAATAAATTAAACTTCGTCAAAATGTCTCTTTCTTTATCACCCATCGCGTCTCCATCACCGGCGTCTCCCTCACCAAGTCCTCCATCAATTGCCAGTCCGCAGAGAACAGAAGCATCACCATCACCAAGGTATGCGTCATCTTCTTTCTTTTTCACATTTCGGGAGTGTAGGGAGTTTATTATTTTTGTGCGTTTTCGGGAGGGTTGGAATTCTTCCACAGGGTCCCTAAATTTTGTCTCTGCACATTAAGAGTTTTACTTTCCTGTCTCTTTCGTTTTCTTTAGTTTAGAATTATTTCAAATAGAACTTGGTCATAGATCAAAGAACTGTTTTGTTTCTTTCTAAACTAATTTTTACCTCTTTATCTCCAGCTCTTTTTCACCCAAACCATCGAATATCATTTTAACTTCTTCTTTACAACCCATTTCTTCTATTTCTCCCACTATCGCATTATCTCTTGCATCTACTATTTCTCCCTCACCTCGTTCCACTTCTACCGTTCAAATTTCATCTTCATTTTCTCCTTCTCTTTCTCTTCGTGCGACTTTTTTTAGTGTTTTCGCTGTCTCTTCTTCGAAGAGTACTGATTTACCTTTCAGTTCTTCTGTTTCCCCTCAAAGATCTCCCACTGACGTTTTTTCTTCTGCTCCTAAATCAACCAGCCCTTTACTTAGCATAACTAGTCCTTCATTTAGTCCCCCTCCACTCACTTCAAATTTATCCCCTAGTCCTAGTCCGAATCCTAGCCCTCCGCCTGTGAGTCCTCCTCTAGTTTCGCCGCCGCCAGTATCACCGCCTGTATCGCCTGTTTCCCCATCGGCTTCGCCAATTGTGATCCAGTCACCTTCACCAATTGTAAGCCAGTCACCCCCGGTTGTGCAGCAGTCTCCACCACCAGTTAGTCCACCAAGTTCACCGAGGGTGTCACCCTCATCTTCACCTTTTCCTGTTGAGTCTCCGCCAAGTTGCTCTGTTAAATGCTGGGGTATGTTTATTTTGTTATCATGCCATTCAGTTTGTGATATACTTATGTAATTACAGGAAGCTGTATACCAAGCACTGCGAATTGTTGTGGAAACGGTCCGGGCGATGCATGGTTTTGTCTCGCTGGCCAAATTTGTGGGAACGCCAAGAGTACGTGTGCAAGTCCTCAACCAAATGCTTCTGTGACTCGAAACCCGGGACTCCAAACCTCTTCAATTACATCAGCCAGGCCAACACCAACCGTGAATGTAAAATGCCAAAGCAATCTTACACAATGTGGAACTGGGTGTATGCCTGCTAATGCCACTTGCTGTGATTCTCTTACCGGTTATTGTCCAGGTTGGAATTTCTTTTTTTTTTTTTTTTGATATCAATTATTAAATTTTGAGCTATGTGTAAAGAACTCTATTACTGCGGGCAGACTTTAGCTGGTGAGTCTTGTTTCAAAAGCGATATTGGCGGAAACGCAAACGATCCAAACTCTTTGCCCCAACTCAATGTCGTTCGAGTGCAGGACTCCAATGTTGGAGGAGTTCCAATTGGCACTATCATCGGATTGTTTTTGGCCGGAGCTGTTATTCTCGCTGGATTTATCATAACCATTACCTTTTTCCGAAAGAAGAATCTCATGAAGAAAACTACTGGCTATGCTCCCACGAATAGTAGCTCTTTTGGTTCGATGGCTCGTTTGGAAATCCCATCCACAGATCGTCCTGAGCATCGTGCAGTATACCACGAACAAGTTATTCGTGACAGACCGCCTTTCCAACCACAGAGTGATTATTCGTCGGAATACAATGAACCACCTCAACATGTTCTTGTCCCTATCCAACCACCAGTTCTTACATCTATTCCCGTCACCACATTTGGCGAAAATCAGTATGTTTATTACCAATCGACTTCAAATGGAAACCAAAACGATATGCTATCAGGACCGTCGTCAGTTTACTCAGACCAAGGACAACCGCAACCATTAGCGATTTACAGATATACACCAGTCAGTGATCAAGCGAGATATTGAAGGAATCAATATTGTTGGCAAGGACTATGTTCATTTCTTTATTTTTATTTGAGCGTTTATTGTTTGTTGTTTTTTTTTTCATTTAAATATTTACTTATGAAATCTTGATTGATCTTCAATATACACTGTTATCATTATTATTGCAAGAGTAAACAGAATCACTGATGACCAACGGATCCAACGAGATTTTGTTGGTTCGTCCGAGCCAACCGACAGCGCGTTTAAAAGTCTAGTACATTCGGATTTAAATCAGTCATTTCAATATCTACACATGGCAAGAACCTACTACAGTTTTGACATATTTGCACACCCCATTTAAAAACCAGTTAAACCACCTTTATTTTTAATACACACATTCAATCTTTGTCTAAATGTATCAATGGTTTCAGATCTTGTCTTTTCATTCAATTCACTCCAAATTTTCAGAATCGCAGCTTTGATTGTGTTCTTTGTTGAGGGTTGTGGGTTGAGAGCCTTGAATTTCATCTTAACAACATTCCAAATCCACTCAATGGGGGATAAATCTGGGCTCTGCGGAGGCCAATTGAGAGTTTTAAATGGTTATTCTTCAAGTAAACGTTTGTTTTCATGTTTGGCATGACAGGGTGCATTGTCATGCTGAAACGTCAATGGTGGGTTGGAACGATTAATTTCTGGTAGAACATGCTTATTTAGGATCTCATTTAGGTATCTAGTACCATTCAATCTTCCTTCCACTTCTACCAATGGCCCAAAACGTTTGTAAGAGACATAACCCTAGAATATCACTCCAACTCCACCATTAGTGATCTGGGGTACGACACATTTTTTCTCTTCTGCGGTGCCTTGCAGATATTTGTAGAAGATCAATTTGCCATTTGGTTTCAATTTCACCATTGTTTCATCCGACCAAAGGATGCGACGCAGTTCTTCCTCACTCTTAGCAATCATTTCCTTTGCAAACTTGAGTCGCTTTGCTTTATTGACATCAGAGAGTAATATAGAACGCTTTGCCAGCTCTCTTTCTAACCCAAATTGCTTCAAATAGATGTTCATGGTCGACTCTGAAACATCTAATTCCAATGCACTAATAATTTGGTGGTTCTTCACCTCTGGGTTTTCCAAAAGATACTTCTTAATTTGTAGGTGCAATCGCCCGTTCAGCTTCCCTCTGTATATTTTAATCTTCGGAAGTAATTTTTGATTTTCCATCTTTTTGTTGGCAATATAACTGAACAGTGTTGAGATTTAATTGCAATTGCTTTGCAATGCGTTTATAACTGACACTAGCTTCCTGGAGCGTATCAATTTGAAGTGCAAGGGAGGGGGTAATAACAGTCATGGATGTGCAAATATGTCAAAACCGTAGTATAATATCCAATCCACCTCAAATATAGTCTACTCTAAAAAAGTCTTGCACAGAAGGACAAATTGGCAGTTTTCTGAAATTACCCCATTGGTCACATTGCTGAATTTCATATCATACCCTAATAAGTGTTTTCTTATTGATTTTGATTTCTTCCTGCTGTGATTAAACGTTATGTTTCTTAGTCTTTGCAGTTTTATTCACAGTCTGTTTCCTTCCTAAGTGCCAGTCAAGTCAGTTTCAATTCCCAAAAAAAACTAAACAAAAATAAAACTTATAAACTGTAATCTAATTTAGGGATTTATACTTAGACAAATTCTCAAAGTACCCAAGACAGATTCAGGAATGTACGCAGGGTCATTAACTTTCTATAACAAATTATTTTCACTTGTATTTGTATGGTTATAGGGGTTAGCGTCAGATTTCATTGGATAGAGAACGGTTTACTCATTATTGTAATTAATTTGAGATTTCGAAAATGTTTGAATGAATAATCATGACTATATTTTTTAGGTTTTTTTTTTTTTAGATACATATTGATGGTGTTGGGATTATTCATTCACAAACACACAGAATGTTTACAACATCCAATCTCTAAAATTATTTCCCTCCTAGGAATTGGAGAAATCAGTCTCATTGTTGGATCTCTATCACCAGTAACAGCGAAATACATACCAGCTGATTTGAGGATCTGTGGCAGGAGAGTACTCTACCTTTGGCGCAGTGAGTATCTTGATTACAAGCAAATTAGGCAGAATAATGTTTGATTTGTAGGTTGAAACATGCCCTTTTTTTAATGTTTATTGCACAAGTGCTATTATTATATTTGTGTTTGTTAAGGATGTTTGGGAGTTGGTTAAAGAGAGATGTTGGAAACAACTGTATTTGGTTGCAGAATCTGGTGAAAATAGCAGTCCTGCTGCTGTTAATTCAGCTGGTGAATCACAAGATGAAGTAACTGCAGTCGAAGACTCACACACTCAGAATGAGACGTTGTTGGTTGCACTTAAGAATAGGTTTTTGACAAAATCAAAAATTTTGGGAACCACTCACGAGGAGTGGCTGGAATGCGATACATGTGATTTATGAATATATTTTTTGCAAAGCTAGTGACGTTTTAAAAGAAAAATAAATTTCATGCTCAGTACGGAGAAGATAATAATACACAAGAGATTCAAAAAAAACGTCGACTGCAGGATTCGAACCTACGCGGGCAGAGCCCAAATGATTTCTAGTCAGTCGCCGTAACCACTTGGC